AACAAACGAGTCAGAGTCCAAGTAAAGCAGCTACTGTTCTCCTCAATGGTGACAGCTTAAACACAAAAAGTGTTTTTATTTATTTTTTTATTGCTGTTATAAAAAATGACTTAGTTAACTATTAATATTATCTATATGTAATTTTGTAGAGTGTGGCAGAAATAAGGCCAAACAGGTTGTTAATAAGTAAAGCTGCTGTTTGTGGAGTTGCTTAATGATGCTCTGCTGAGATTTTGAAAAATTTGATGTGTTTTATTTAGTTTATTTTATATACGGTAGGGATGGCTGACGTGAAACTGATGTTTCGACACAGTGTCGAGATCCTGAAGCGCAAGTGTTTCGAAACACTGCACCGAAGCATGATCCGAAGCACCCAAGTCACGTGACTAAAGTGTTTCGAAACACCTAGTCACGTGACTAAAGCGATTCAAAGCATCGATCAGCTTAGAAACGTTTCGAGACCTGGCGAATGCTCATTTGACTGCCAAGGTCATTAAATAATCTCTGTCTCATATGGCTTAGAGCACTGTGTGTTTGCTTATTGATTCTATACTTTGTATGATGTTTTGGGTTCGAATCCCGACTTGTACAAATACTCTGAAATCATGGTTTTATGTATTTTAATCATGTTTCTGTTTTGTGTAGCCTAAATAGGATACAGCTGCAGTTACGCCATCAATTTAGCATCATTTTTGTAACACTGTAAAACAATAATAAATATTTTTACAGTATGGTTGGGTTTAGGGTTTGGGTGGACATTAATAAAATACAATAAATGGGAAATTTAATGAATAATATAAATAATTCTTGATAACTTCAGGCCACCGTTTTTGATCTAGCAACAACCCTGTTTTAAGACAAAAACAAGACATATTTATTCACAAATTGTTTATTCGGATATCAGACCAATGTTGAAACAAAAACGATACAAGAGCAAAGCATTACCAATTGGTATCAAAGCATTTCAAAACAACTGTGATAGTCTGGATTCGAAAGCTACTAACCCCGCATGGAAGTCTGACACCTTAACCACTGTACCATGTTACTTGAAGGATCAAACAAACAAAGTTTGGTTTAATGCCTCAATTTGTTCAATTGTTCTTTGCTGAAGCTGTTTCAGTGCAATACATAAAAAAATGACCACTAGATGTCACTGTGGAGTGAGGTTTCGAAACGTTTCGAAGCTTCGACACATTTGCTTCGACTGTTTCAGTGTTTCACGAAGCCTCGCTTTGCCCACCACTAATATACGGCTGTGACTGAAGGTAGATGTAGTTTTGTGTTTCTCTTCTCTGTTTGTGCTTATTAACAGCAGGTGTTCATCATCAGTGCTCAATCATCACTTAATTAACCCTATCATTGTCTCATTAACTTTAACTGCTGAACTGAGTAAACTTTACTCTGATGATTTTACTGTGTTGTAGAGTCTGGAAAAAGTACTGAAGCTTTTGTTTATAAAAGTTTTAGCTTTTAATGACAATATTTTTTGTCAACGTTTAATAGGAGGTAGTGTAGTATATAGCCTAAAATATCCACTGTACTGTCAAAAACGAATTAAAACCCCTTATGAAAAAACAACTCAGTTTTCTGACCACACTTCTATATTATTGTTTATTTATTCACTTGCTGGAAATTAGAATTGAATTTAGAAGTAGTTTGGAAACAAATTTTTGCGCTTTGCAAACGAAAATAACTATGTAGGCTTATGGATGTCTTCAGTGGAGTGTGTAACGCCGTTTCCTTATCAAAAAATATTTGAGTGGCAGTTCTTCAATAATAGATAAGTGGGATGTAGATATGGAGATTTATATATTTTTTTAAATTCAAAATATATTAATTTTGAAATATTTTATAAGACTCAAGCACCACTGTGTACACCTGAAAGTAAAAAAATAAAATAAATACAAAGTGAACTTATTTGTAAATATTGTTATTTATGCTTTGTTTCAGGCAGCAGAAAGACAACTGGATGATAGAGAATGTGACTAAGAGACACACACAAACACACACGGACACAGCATATTAAAAATTTAATTGTTTGACAAATGCTTTATGTTTTCTGCCAATAAAGACAATTTTAGTAACATTTTATTGATTGAGCTCTTTCTGTCTCTAACATTCAGGACAAGAAAATAACATTCTGTGAAGGTCCGCAAAATAACATCCCTCACACCTTTAAAGAATTCCACATCTTGTCTTTCTGGGAACGTTACTAGACAACGGCCTTAACACCACCAAGCACGTTATGAGAACGTTGTGAGAATGTCAAATTTTCCAATAAGGTTTGGTCCCCTAAACATTCTGAGAACGTTCTGAATGTTCTGTAAAGGTCCCTCAAATAACGTCCTCCAAACCTTTAAAGAACTCAACATTGTGACATTCTCAGAACGTCCTTAACATTCAGGGAATGTAAAATTTCTAGCTGGGTTGTCACTTTGTTAATATTGTTTGGAGTTTTGTTCTATCTCTCTCTCCATCTCTCCCCTTTCTGCACTGACTGCGCATGGGAGAGAAAAGCTGTAAGGGCGAAGACACACTGTTAAAGCTGTGCTTTTGGTTTATTCTCAGTGAGTAAAGAGCCGTCACAACTGCAGATCTCCGACTGGTTATTCCTTCATAAAAATAAGAAAACACAACGCAGAACCGGTTACATAGACACGCTGAGTAATGCATTTGACCTGCTTCTCAATGGCAAGAAGTGATTCAACTGGGGAAATACCAAATCATCCTGGGTAATCTCTATATTTTGTCAAAATAAAGTTTCGAACCTGTAGATACTTAAAAAAGTCCACATTAGGAATACTAAACTTATCCTTAATCTGTTGGAATGTGAGAATCGTACCATCCTGAATAATATCACCCACCACTTTAATGCCCTTATCACTCCAATCTTCTAGCCCAGCTCTAAGGCCTGGTGGTTAATCTGGATTTCCATGGAGAGGGGTTGATAGTGAGAAACAATTCTCATAACCTTAACGTTTTCTAATTTGCCGCCATATGTCTAACATATTCTTTAAAATACTATTACCTTTGATCAGAGCAGAAGCTTTAGCAGTTGAGATATAAAGCAAATTACGTAGGGGAATCCCGTCCAGGGATGCAGCTTCAGGTCCAATCCAAGTAGATTCTGGGTCATCTATAAGCCATTCTAAAAGAAACCTAGACTGAGCAGCCAGATAATAATATAAAAAGGATGGGGCAGCTAAACCACCTGATTTAATGGGGAGAATAAGGACACTATATCGTAGTCTTATTATAGCACTATTCAACTGGGCTATAACTTTTTTAGTAATTTTAATAGGGAGCATTTGAAATAAGTAGAGAAAGCGTGGAAGAACATTCATTTTAATGAGATGAATACGACCCAGTAAGGATAATGGTAGGGCACACCACCTATCCAAATTTTGTATTACCGATTGTAAAAGGGGAATGAAGTTTAGACTTTATAAGTTTGATATCTGAGAGGAAACTTTTATGGCCAAGTAATAAAAGCCCCCGGGGGACCACCGAAATGGATGCGATATACTAGGATGTAATCTATGCGAATTATTAAGAGGCATGGCTTCGCTCTTAGAAAAATTTATTTTGTAACCAGAGAAAGATCCATAATCATTAATTAGTGTCATCAAATTAGGTATAGATTTCTTAGGGGACTCTAAGTAAATCAAAACATCATCAGCATATAACGAAATTTTATGCTGTTGATCCTTTAAAGAAATACCTTGGATATTTGTATCCTGTCTTATTTTTACCGCTAAGGGTTCCATTGCCAGGGCAAAAATTAAAGGGCTCAACGGACATCCTTGTCTTGTACCTCTTTCAATATTAAAGTTACTAGTTCTAAGACTATTATAAATTACAGCAGAAAGAGGAAAATTGTATAATATACAGATCCAATTAATATAGTCAGCCCCTAACCCAAATTTTTTAAGCACAAAAAAAAGGTATGGCCATTCCAACCGATCGAAAGCCTTTTCTGCATCAAGTGATATAACCAGTGAGTCTGGGCTATATAAAGAACAATGTTTAATAATGTTAAAAAGCCTTCTTATATTATGCGATGAGAATGTACCCCATATAAATCCTGTCTGATCGTTATTAATAATAGAAGGTAGTATTGACTCCAATCGAGAAGCCAGTACTTTGACAAAAAGCTTAGAATCTATATTTAAAACAGATATGGGCATATAAGAGGAGCATTCATCAGCTGGTTTACTTTTTTTATGAACCAAGGAAATATTAGCTTCCATCATTGAAGGGGGAAGGACCCCTTTTTCAAATGAGTGAAGAATCATCTCATGTAATGGGCCAGATAAAATACTGACAAACTTTTTTATAAAACTCTGCACTGAGACCATCAGGACCTGGTGCCTTGTTATTAGGGAGAGATTGAATACTATTCTTAAATTCACTGAGAGTTAATGGAGCGTCTAATATCTTTCTCTGGTCATCTGAAATTTGAGGAAGAGATAGGTTTGTAAAAAAAGCTTCCATATTAATTTCAACACTATAATTAAATTTAGATGTGTACAATTGCTCAAAAAAGATTCTAAAACTATTATTAATTTCCTTATTATTATAATTCAAAGAACCATTCAACTCTTTAATACAAGGTATATTTTGAGTAGATGTCCTAACCCGCAAAAGATTAGCCAAATAGCGATTAGGTTTATTAGCAAATTCGTACACTTTGCTTTACAAAGAACATTGATTTCTCCGCCTTTTTCGTAAGTATCGCTTCCAATGCAGTTTTTGTTATTTGTATGTCACATCTTAGTTCATCTGAGGGAGATAAATTATATCTGGCCTGTAAATCATGTAGTTTGAGCTCTAAGTTTCTCTGTTCTCTTCTACTTTTTTCCTAAGCCTAGCTGAATATGATATAATTAAACCTCGAGCATATGCTTTTGCTGTATCCCAAAGTAACCCTGGAGAAACACCCGGAGTTTTGTTTTCTACAAAAAAGTGATTCATCTGTTCTGTTAAAAAAACCTTCAAAATTAGGGTCAAAATTTAGGTATGAATTATACCTCCATTGTTTATTAGAGAGTGTCAAATTACTGAAATTTATGCCTATACAGAGCGGTGCTTGATCGGATATCAAAATATCCCCAAAATTACAATACTCAACTTTACTAAAAGAAATTTTAGGGGTTGAAGATCAAGTCAATTCTACTACTGGTTTTATGAACAGCTGAATAATATGTAAACTCCTTATCATTAGGGTGTAACACCCTCCAAGTATCAACCAGATCAAGTTCTTTGCAGGTATCCAAAACAGCTTTGACTCTATTCGACATCTGACTACGATTTTGTGTTGAAGGACATTTATCTACTAATGAGGAGAAAAAACAATTAAAATCACCTGCTATAACTGTGTTGTCACAAAGCCAATGCGCAAATTTTGAAAAAACCTTAGAAATAAAATCTGTGGTCTGAATAGGTGGAAAATATATATTTAAAACTGAAATTTCTTGCCCATAAAGAGAGCCTCTTAACATAATATATCTTGAGACCAAATCTTGAGCTGCTACTCCGCCATTACCGTCACGTGACTCCGAAAAAAGATACTGTCATCTTGATGAATGAGACTCAAAGATCCCAGTAAGTAAAATGATATGAACTTCCCATCACTACTGTCCAGTGTGAAATGTCTGGTGCAGTTTTAATTTTAGAGCTGTAATAAAAGTCTTCTCACACTCAAAGCACAAATACTCTCTCACACCAGTGTGGATCTTAATGTGTTCATTAGGGTTGACTGATTGGTTGATACTCTTCCCACACAGAGTGCATGTGAATGGTTTATCTACAGTGTGGGTCATCATGTGTTTATTAAGGTCTGAGGAGTTGCTGAAACTCGTCCCACACCGAAGCTGTGGGTTTCTCTCTGTTGTGGCTTATCATGTGTAGATAAAGGAGTGATGGTTGTCTGAAACTCTTCCCACACTGAGTGCATGTGAATAGCTTCTCTCCAGTGTGATTCCTCATGTGTCGATTAAGGTGTGATGAGCAGTTGAAACTCTTCCCACACTTAGTGCATGTGAATGGTTTCTCTCCAGTGTGGATCCTCATGTGTTGATTAAGGTTTGATGAGCGGCTGAAAGTCTTTCCACACTGAGTGCATGTGAATGATTTCTCTCCAGTGTGGATCATCATGTGTTTATTAAGGTCTGATGATTGGCTGAAACTCTTCCCACACTGAGTGCATGTGAATGGTTTCTCTCCAGTGTGAATCCTCATGTGTTTATTAAGGGATGATGAGCAGCTGAAACTCTTCCCACACTGGGTGCATGTGAATGGTTTCTCTCCAGTGTGGATCCTCATATGTAGATTAAGGTCTGATGAGCGGCTGAAACTCTTCCAACACTGAGGGCATGTGAATGGTTTCTCTCCGGTGTGGATCATCATGTGTTCATTAAGGTATGATGTTTGCCTGAAACTCTTCCCACACTGAGTACATGTGAATGGTTTCTCTCCAGTGTGAATCATCATGTGTTGATTAAGCAATGATAACCGGATGAAACTCTTCCCACACTGAGTGCACGTGAATGGTTTCTCTCCGGTGTGAATCATCATGTGGTCATTAAGGTGTGATGATTGGCTGAAACTCTTTCCACACTGAGTGCATGTGAATGGTTTCTCTCCAGTGTGGATCATCATGTGAATCTTAAGATTGCCATTTCCTCCAAAACTCTTCCCACACTGAGTACAGGTGAAACGATTCTTGTCTCTCCTTTTCAAAATACCATCAGTCTGTAAATGATTTTTGTCCTCAATTTTAACATGATGTTCCTCCTCTTTACTTCCCTCACTCTCTTCAATTAGGTCTGAAAAAAAAGTTTTCATTAAGTCTTAAAAACTCTCATCAAAAGCTGAAAAGTGAAAAGACACTGGAAACATTGGCTACACACATTGTATTTGTGATGCACATTAAATGTTAAATAAATCAGATCATATTGTGTTTGGTCCATTAACGTGTACACATTTAAGCAGATTCTATTCATCTTTATTTATCTAGTGCTTGTACAATGTAAACTGTCAAAGCCGCTTAACATAGAACTTATAGTAAATTGAAACGGTGTCAGTCCAGTTTTGAGAGTTTCTTACATAATTGATCATAAAAGTAATTTTGGTCACATTGATAGGTCGCAGATTTGAAAGGTGTAAATAGTGTGACGACCCCAGTATTCTAGTTTGGATGTGGCAGATCCTGATTAGGTGCCATGGTTGCTCCCCAATTGGTTCAAAGCATATAAATGCGAGAGTGAGCTAGCTTCTGTAGGATAGTGTGGCTACTGGCCGTCTTCGCATCAAGACCATCTCATTATTTTGGCAACCTTATGGTTTTGTTTGGCATTATTTATATGTGTAGTTAAAGTTAGTTATTTTCTTTATTTTCCCTTAGACATTTGTTTGTTTCTTGATTTGTTGTTTTATTAGTTGTGTATAATAAATAAGTTGCATATATAATCTTTTTGTTGTCTGAGCTCTTTTATGTTGCAACTCTAACGAGGGGGTCGTAACAATGGCCTATTTTTTGCATACATTCATAATTACAACAAAATGTTTCTCTAAAATTTGTTTAGCAGACAGGGAATACTATGGATAGAATACTATGGATAAGATACTGTGGATAGAATGAAAGAACCAACAGGGGAAAGCAAAGAAGGAGGTGTTTCTTTCTTTATTAACAACTCATGGTGAGATAAGAGAAACATACATCCAGTTAGATCATTTTGTCCTCCTGATCTGGAATACCTTATGCTTCGGTGCCAACCACACTGGCCACCAAGAGAGGTCACAGCTGTTATAATTACAGATGTTTGCATCCCCCCTCAAGCCAACACAGAGCAGGCGCTTAGGGAACTGAATGGGAGCATAAGCGAGCAGGAAACCACACACCCAGAGGCAGCGTTTATTGTTACAGGGGACTTTAACAATGCCAATCTCAGGAAAATCACTCCAAAATACTATCACCATATCACCACAAACATGCGTGGTGACCGAATTTTGGACCACTGCTATTCTCCGTTCCGGGACGCCAACAAATTCCTCCCCCGCCCACCGCTAAGCAAATCAGATGACTCTTTTGTTCTGCTCTTGCCTGCTTACAGACAGAAACTGAAACGGGAACCACCCACCCTCAAGACGTTTCAAAGCTGGACGGACCAATCGAGTTCCATACTTCAAAAATGTTTTGATCATGTGGACTGGGAGATGTTCCGGGCAGCTTCTGATGATGACATTAAAGTTTACTCAAGACACCGTTACATGCTTCATCAGAAAGTGTATAGAAGACATGGTCCCAACAAAAACTGTTCGTATCTACCCCAACCCAAAACCATGGATTGATGGCGAAGTTCGAACAGCCCTATCAGTGTGAACCTCCGCCTATAAATCCAGAAATGCTGAGGAACAAAAACAAGCAAACTACAACCTCAGGTAAACTATCAAAGCAGCAAAACATCAATACAGAGGTACAAGGTAGAGGGGAGGAGTATGTGGCAGGGACTTAATTACATCACAAACTTTAAAAGTGACAAACCCGCCACTGTAAACATTTCTGCATCTCTCCCGGACGAGCTCAACTCATTCTACACCTGCTTTAAAGCCCAGGACAGCACCCACACACTGTGCACTCCCGCGGCCGATACAAAAACCGCCAGCACACTCTGTTTCTGTAGCAGACGTAACGAGATCTTTCCGGAACATCCGGAAAGCTATGGCCCAGATGGCATCCCTGGACGTGTACTTAAAGCATGCACACACCAGCTAGCGGGGGTTTTCACGGACATCGTAACCTCTCGCTCTCTCTGTCTGTGGTTCCCACATGCTTTAAGACAGCTACTATTGTGCCCATACTGAAATAATCTAAAACCACATGCTTAAATGACTGGCGTCCAGTTGCTCTGACACCCATCTTCAGCAAGTGCTTTGAGAAGCTGTTTAAAAAGCACATCTGTTCTGTACTGCCTGCTCACACTGACCCTCTGCAATTTGCTTACAGGAATAATCGCTCCACTGATGTTGCAATTGCTTTCACCTTGCACACTGCTCTGTCTCACCTGGAAAACAAAAACACATATGTGAGAATGCTGTTTGTGGACTACAGCTCAGTATTCAACACTATAGTGCCTGCCAAACTAGTGGTGAAGCTCCAAGCTCCGGGTCTACACAGCTCTCTGTGCAAATGTATCCTGGACTTCCTGTCAAGCAGACGCCAGGTGGTCAGAATGAACAACATGACCTGATCCACACTGATGATCCACAGAGCTGTGTTCTCAGTCCACTCCTGTACTCCCTGTACACACGCGACTGTACAGCCAAACACAGCTCCAACGTCATCGTTAAATTTGCTGACGACAGTGGTGGGCCTAATCACAGATAATGATGAGATGGCCTACAGAGAGGAGGTTTACACTCTGACGCAGTGGTGTGAGGAAAACCACCTCTCACTCAACATCAGCAAAACCAAGGAGCTGGGAGAAGAGAGAACACACCCCCATCACCATCAACGGGACACCAGTGAAGAGTCAGCGCTTTCAAGTTTCTTGGAGTACACATTGCTGAGGATTTGACAAGGACTGCTCACACAGACGCAGTGCTAAGGAAGGCACAACAACGCCTCTTCTTCCTCAGGCGTCTCAGGAGGTTTGGAATAAGCCCTCACATCCTCCGCTCGTTCTACACCTGCACTGTGGGGAGCATCCTGTGTGGCTGTATCACCACCTGGTATGTAAATAGCACCAGCAGCAATCGCAAAGGCCTACATAGGATTGTGTGAACTGCTGGACGCGTAGTAGGAGGTGAGCTTCCCTCCCATCACGACATCACCAGGCGGTGCATGAGGAAAGCCAAGTGAATTATAAGCGACTCCAGCCACCCAAGCCATAGACTTTTCTCTCTGCTACCCTTAGGCAAATGGTTCTGCAGCATCCGGTCGCGCACCAGCCGACTAAAGGAAAGCTTCTTCCCTCATACTATCAGGCTGATGGACACTTAATACCCCTCACTGCACACCATGTATATGTGGCATTTTAACCAATACATACCTAAAACAATACTGCCTACAACTATGGGTACACATATTCATTATACATATCGTTGTCAACAATTATAATGCTGCCAAATTATTTTGTACTATCTGTATTTTGCACTGTCGTTATATTTGCACTGTCTGTATTTTGTACTGTCTAGAGCCAGCACCTAAGCGTTTCACTCATCATAGCACACGTGCTGCTGATGATGTGACAATAAAAGTGATTTGATATTCATGGCCATTTTTTCTTCATTGGCCTTTATTATAGCAATATATATAATAGCCATGACAGCATATAATCATGCAAGATACTTCTAAAAGATACACTAAACCTCGAGAATACTCCTCTTCTGGACCAGGCACACCACACTCTATGCAGCAAACCAGTGGATGACAAGGAACCGCCATGCGCCTTCGTGATTAAATGCCACTACTTTTCCGAAAAAGAGGATATTTTGAAGAAAGCTGCTGAAATAAATGACAACAGTACACTGGGCTGTGAATGACAATACAAATGTTAATGTCGCTCTCCGGTTAACTTTTAAATAACCACTATAGCACATGTTGGTTGTTGTTATTTCTAGTTCCCCTTCGGTTGGGGAACTTCAGTGCCATGAATGGGAGGATTCGGATCAGAAGCCGCTTATCTGGAGAGTATTGAACGGGCCAATGAATGAAATTAATTGGCAGCGTAAGCTTGCGCAGGTGTGCGACATCTGCAATCATCTCAGCATATAAGCACACCTGAAGCCAGCAGACGCCATCCTTTTCGCTTCAGATCCTTTCTGAGTGAGTCGATGAGGGTTCCTCTTGCTGATCAGCACTTCAGAGCGAACGAGTGTGTCTCCCGGTCCAGAGTGGGTCTTCGCGGTGGCAGACGGTCGAGCTGGGTTACTCCCTTGCCTGCGGTTCTTTGGGTCCGGTCCTCCAGAGCGGTGCGTATAGTTGCAACTTTCCTAAAAGAGCAACACAGTCGTGCAGCACGTCCTTTTCAGGATGGCGCTCCGACTGTGCGTTTCTGGATGCGGGGGTTTCCTGTCTCCGGATGATGGACACGATCACTGCATTGCATGTTTGGGGGTCCAGCATGTTAATGCGGTGCTCGCGGGAAAGCAGCGGGCGCTCGGGCAGATCTGAGGGTTTCAGCGGGAGCTAATCCGCCGCCCACGGGCTCGCGGACCTCTCGCTCCTCACGGCGCTCCATCCAAGCTTCGGGTGGTGAGAGTGATCCGTCTAACCAGATGGTAGCTCTCACACTCGCTGACACCGGAGATCAGATGTCCTCCGCGGCATCGGAGGGTGGGCTTTCACTGTCCGACGAAGATCCGGACCCGCTCGCCCCCTCCGGGCAGGTGAGCGCTGTCAAATCGGATCCTGAAGCGGACATGTTAGCCGTGCTTTCCCGGGCTGCTTCGGCCGTGGGGTTGGAGATGGTTTATCCCCCAGCTCCGCGGCCGGACCGACTAGATGGGTGCTACGTAGAGGACCAGAAGGCGAAGCCTTCGAAGCCTCTCGTCCCCTTCTTCCCGGAAGTGCACAGTAGGCTCACGCAGTCCTGGAGGGCACCATTCTCTGCCCGTGCTGCGAGTGCCTCCGCCCTCACCGCCCTTGACGGCGGAGCTGCCAGGGGGTATGAGGCGATCCCGTCAGTGGAGCGCGCTATCGCGGTCAATCTTTGTCCGCGCGGCGCCTCTACGTGGCGGGGTTTGCCCCGCCTCCCGTCCAAAGCCTGTAGGTTGTCTGCCTCCCTCGGAGCCAGAGCTTATAAGGCTGCGGGCCAGGCTGCTT